CAAAAAAAAAAAAAAGAAAGATGCATGGATAACATGTGGGTCAAGCGAGTAAGCAGGGAACCATACCCAGCACCAGGAACAGCTCCCTAGACCCAGACTAGTTAGGCTTGTGTGAACAGACATATTTTTTTGTTCACATGCTGTAAAGTCTATCCTTCTCAAGGGCAATGTTGGGCTGTGCTTCCCAGGTCATACAGCCTTACCCTATGGAGTAGGGATGTATAGACTCCAGAGTGATCGTCTGTCTCTGTAAAAAAAAATTATACCTTCAGAATCCTGAGTAGCTCTACTTCTGAGACTTGATCCTGAGGAATTATAGCTACAGCAGAAGTTAATTGGGAACTGACTTTCTCCATACCCTAGACTCCAAAGAAGACACAAGTGGAATTTGTCTAGTTCAGTTAGTTTATTACGATTTCCTCTGCTTGTTTCCCCATCTCCCCACCTTCTGCCTGGTTTGGCTTTAGGTCTTGGGTTGCTAAGTCCAAGTACTATCAGGCTTTCTTCTCTTGAATAGATTTGGTGAGCAAGGGTCCACGGTTACCTAAAAATTTGGCTAATACTCTTTGGAGACCCCTGGAAAGGTGAGCCTGGGGTATAGGAGAAGAAAGATGGCTCTTCGTGTGGGCCCAAGGATAGTGCTTACAGTAGTGAGGGCTCAGGATGTCACCAGCTCTCAGCTCTTTCCCTGCCTGGTCATGGGGACCTGAAATCTTGGGGAAGAGCTTCTGGGGAAGAGAACTGTCTTGAGAGCTCTGGCCCCTGTGTTGAGATTTTTGGGAAAGTCTGCTTACAGGAGCCTCCACTAGTCTTTGGGCCTGGGTAGGGTGGCTCTTTTTTGTGACAGTGGATGACCCTAATCCTGCATTCCCTGCTCTGTGGTCTGCTTTGGGTTTTCTGGGGTTCTCTCCCTTTTTCACTGAAGAAAGGGCTGAAGCCTTGTTTTGTTTCCTGCCTGAGACTAGAATATCAGGGTTTGAAGGCTCTCCAGGGCCTGAATGGATATCACCAGCCTTTGTGTGTACACACGACCCTTGGGATGGGACCTGGGCAGTCTTCCCCTTCAAGTTCGCCTCTCTCTGAGGCCCTTGTCTTGCTCTGCCAGACCCTCCTAGCTGTGGCTGGAATAGGGATTGGGAGTGATGACAGTAGGAGACCTGGATAGGTTGAGATACTGTGCTCTGAACTTTTGGGGGATGACCACTTGAAGAGGAGAGGCACAGGTTAGGGAGATAAATCTGCTTTTGGGGGCAGGAGTCTGGAGTTGTGGAGCTCAAGGCAGGGGAGCTACAAAGTAGTTGGCTTGAGCTCGGGGATCTGGATGCAGGGCTCTGCTGCAGTGTTTTCAGCCTGAGTTCCAACTCTTTACTCCACTGCCAGGCATGGGTCCCAGGGTTTGTGAGCACCTCTGGAACAGCCTCTCTCTGGGAGAGTGGGGCCTCAGCCTTAGGTCCTGGAAATGTCTCTCCGTTGGGTAGGCCAGAATGAGTGGGCACAATCTGCACAACTTCAGTGAGGGTGGGAAGCCAGGGTATTGGCTGCAGGGTATTAACTTTTGGAGGGCTGGAGCCCTGGGGGACTTCTCTCTGTTGTGCCCATCTCCACACACATTGAAGGTCAGTGTGTGGCTCTGGTAGGGGAGCAGAAAGTGAACTATGGGCTGGGAGCTCAGTGGCCCAGCAGTTCTTTGTCTGCTCCACTGATGCTTTCCCCTCAGGCTTACAGTTGCATTGGTCTCCAAAAGGCTCACTTATGTGAGACTTTGAAACGGAGTTTGGGGATGGGCTGAGGCTCCAACCTGGGAACAGTGGAGCACAACAGTTTTCTTTCTTCTCCATGTTCCCCCTAACAGGCTCATAGTCAGGCAAGACTCCTGGGGGGCTGGTTCCATGCAGGACTTGGGGTAAGCTGCAAGCTGGGAGCTTAGAGGCCCAGCAGTTCTGTCTCTTGTTTATATCCCTACATCTAGCCTTAGAATTAAACAGGACCCCCATGGGGATGATTTTCTGAGGCTCCAGCATAAGAGCTGGGAGTGGGCTGAGGGCCAGGGATGGGGGCTTAGAAGCGCAGGAACTCCTAGAATGCTTGGTGTCCTTCCTCGTAGCTTCTGGTTTGGTAAGGCCTTCCACAGGATTGATTGTATGCTGTTCTCTGAGGGGGGCTAGCACTGTGCTATGGGCAGGGTCTGAGGAGTCAGATGCCCAGAGGTTTTCTCTCTGCTCCATGGTCTCCCACAAAGCTTTGGATTCAGGTAGGACTCCCTTGGGACACGTTACTAGAGACTCTAGCTGAGAGGCTGAGGAAAGGCTGGCAGATAAAACTGGGTCTGCAGATAACCCCAAATTTTCTCTACTCTGCATGCCCTTCCATGGAGTCTTAGATCCTGATGGGACACATGCAAGGCTGGTTCCATAGAGTGCTGGCTTGGGGTCCAAGGCTGGGGTCCCCAAAGCCTGGCAGATTCCTGAGTTTTCTCTGAATACCCACTGGGGCTCATATCTGGATAGGTCTTCCAGGGAACTCTCTCCCTGGAGTTCTGTCAGGGAGTCTAGGGGAGGGCAGGGGGCTGGCATTAAAGACTTAGAAGCCTGAGGGTTCTCTTTGTGTTCCTGGGTTCCCCAAAAGTCCTTAGGTATAAGAACTCCTCCTTCATAGCTGATTTTTTTTGGTTTTGACAGAGAAGCTGGAGGCTGGCATGGGGGTGGCATTGGAGGCTCAGAAGCTTGGGAGCTTTCTTTATGTCCCATGGTTCCCCGCTTAGTCTCATATCGACGAGGATCTCCCAAGGGGCTAGTTCCTTGAGACTCTGTCATAGGGACTAGGTGTTGGCAAGGGGACACATTTGACGGTGCAGAGATCTGACGGTTCTCTTTTTGCCCATTGGTTTCCCAGAAGACCTTAGATCTAGACAGACCTTCTGTAGGGCTGACTTTCTGGAGTTCCGACAGAGAGGCTGCAGTTAGGCTGGGAGTTGACATTGCTTGTTCAGAGGCTGGGGGGTCTTCATTTTGTCCTGTGGTCTTCCATGGGGCCTCAAACCTTGTCAGGATTCCCAGAAGGCTAGCAGGATATAGCAGAGAAGCAGAGGGTGAATCTGGATTATGTTGGTGGAGGTTGGGGTCCCATGGCAACTCCCACCAGGCCTCAGAAGCAGAGAAAAGCTTAGAGGGTCTGTGTCTTTGGAATTCAGGCTGCGAGTGCAGGACTTGACCCTTAGAGACCCAAGAGACCTCTCTGTGCTCTGTAAGCTGTTGTGTGGGTGCCTCAGTGCCAGATAGAACTTGCTTATGGTCCACAGGCAAGGGCTTAAGATGGAGGGGTAGTGATGGGACGGGAGGAGAAGATGGAGATGGAAGTAGTGGAAGACTGAGAGCCATCCCTTCGATGTCTTCCATAGTATGGACTTCGTGAGTAGGAAACTGCGTTGGAGAGTGATACTGGGGAAGCAACGGGTTGGACCTAGGCAAGAAGGTAAGCTTGTTGAAAAAGACAGAAGGACAAACAGATAATTTCAGGGAAGAGGGGCCTGAGCTCAGGAAGATGGCCTCCAAGGATTCGCTGTGCAGAAAAGGGAGACCCCAAAAGAGCTGGCTTTTACTATGCTGCTGGTGGCTCCCTGATGCTATCTTGTGCCTCACAGGTAGGTTGGTCAGGATCTGGAAGGTGGGAAAGGGTCTGAAAGGGCTTGGGGGCTGCATGAGTATTTGCTCTGGTATCCCTGTGACCTCGGTGAGCCCCTCAGAACCATAGGATGGCTCAGCTGATGCTCCAATGGGAGTTTCTTTGGGAGGAGAACATGGTTTCATTGGATCCAGAGATGCCTCCTCTTCTTCCTTTTCCCCCTCCTCCTCTTCTTTTTCTTCCTCTTCCTCCTCCTCTGATTTCTGTTTCCACAGGTGACCAAGGTACGCCATATGGTACAGAAAGGGTAGGCCCTGGAGAGTAGGAAAGATACTTTCAGGCATGAAGACTTCAGAGACACAAGTTTGTTATGAAACCCAAAGTCTCTGCTCCACATACAGAGTAAACAGCTCCTCATCTAATATTAATAATGGTCATCCAGTTCTCATTTGACAGTCAGCATTCTTTCATATACTCTACATCTAGGATCAGTGATCACTCACCTGACTTCAAATCTAATGTCAGTAGCCACTCACCCAGCCTCAAGTGGCTTATAGTCAGTCACCTGGGTCCACATTCATACCAGTGATCCCTCACCTGATCTCTCATGTGGTGTCAACAGTCATTAATCCAACTCCACATCTGTAGTCAGAGGTCACCCACCTTGCCTTGCATCTTGTCCCCATAGCACCAAGGATGAACATGTCGCAGCCTCCCAAGCTGCCACCACCTCCGGATCTGCCAAACTATGAATAAGAGTAGTGTCATCACATTCCCTGGACTTTGGAGACAGTTGCTGCCACAGTATCTACAAGCCAGGGCGTGGGTTAGTTGACCCCAGAGAAGCCCCATATTCCCCTCAACCCTGAGCAAGTCCTCCAGTAGCCATTCCATTTTCCTCAGCCTAGTGGCAGTTTACTCTGAGATCATCATTGCATCACAGAATAAAGAACTCTCATCCCCCATTTGGGCTGAGGCCTAATGAGGCCTAACAGCCATCTTCCTGCATTTAACACCAGTAAAAACTCATACTTCATAGAGTGAAGTCTGGATGATTGGCTTTTGTTTTGATTGCCAAGGTCATAATTATGCTTTAGGCATTGCGTGAGGACATGGATTATAGCATTGAAAGGCCTATTCAATACCTTGCCCTACCACTTTCCACCTGTGAAACCTCAAACTACTTGATTTTTCAGCGCCTCAATTTTCTCATCTATAAAATGGGGATAATATTGCCACATAAGTGGCTTTGAGAATTAAATGAATAGATGTATAAATGAATACTACCTGGTATATAATGTATGCTACATTATAATTTTATTTCTTTTAAAGTTTTTGATTATAAGTTTCATTCTATTTTTAATAAGTGGGGTCTATCCCCTATTATTTATACTAATGTTTATCCCCTATTATTTATGCTAATGTTAGCTGTGAACTGTTTTCTTTGACAGCTGCCTGAAATTGGCTGGGATGTTTTTGGGTTTTTTTTGAGACAGAGCCTCAAGCTGTCCCCCTGGGTAGAGTGCTGTGGCATCACAGCTCACAGTAACCTCCAACTCCTGGGCTCAAGCGAGTCTCCTGCCTCCGCCTCCCAAGTAGCTGGGACTACAGGCGCCTGCCACAACGCCTGGCCATTTTTTGGTTGCAGCCATCGTTGTCATTCGGCGGTCCAGGCTGGATTTGAACCCGCCACCTTAGGTGTATGTGGCTAGCTCCTTAGCCACTTGAGCCACAGGCGCCAAGCCAGCTGAGATGTTTTTTGAACATGCATATTAAGGATGAAAAATCAAATGTGCTTGACCATTTAATTTGCTCCACTCTCTTCTAAAACCCACACTCTGTTCCATGTCGGCCTTCCCTTCAGGGCCACACTTCAGTCCCTGCTTCCCAGTACAATTTAACACTCTTGCCCCACTTCTAATCTCCACTTAGTCTGGTAGGAAGTGTGCTGAGTTGAAGGTGAGGAAACGTGGGTTCTCTATCTCTGTCACTGATTGGCATTAATTGGTCACATGATCTTAAGAAACCAAGAGAGATTCTTCCATTGGTAACATGAGTTAGACCAGATTAATTGATTCATTCATACGACAATACATTTATTGAATGCCTATTAAGGGTCAGATATTGTTCTCAATCTTGAGGCAATAGTTAAGATGCTAAAGTCGGTCTAGTTCAGTGGGAGAAATGGTGAAATAATAGACGATGAAAATAAAGATATGTACAGGGTAACATAGGGGCAGAAAATAGATTATCTACCAGCTTGGAGAAGAGGGTTGCTTGTTTGGAGGTGCTTCCCAGAAGAGATGATTAATGCTTGGTTTGAGGGCTTGGCACTTGTGGCTCAAGTGGCTAAGGCGCCAGCCACATACACCTAAGGTGGCGGGTTCGAATCCAGCCCGGGCCCACCAAACAACAATGATGGCTGCAACCAAAAAATAGCCAGGTGTTGTGGTGGACGCCTGTGGTCCCAGCTACTTGGGAGGCTGAGGCAGGAGACTCGCTTCAGCCCAGGAGTTGGAGGTTGCTGTGAGCTGTGATGCCATGGCACTCTACCCAGGGAGACAGCTTGAGGATCTGTCTCAAAAAAAAAGAAAAAAAAATGCTTAGTTTGAGGAACCAAGACAAAGAGGATAAAGTTAGTGTAGGGAGTGAGAGAAGGATAATCCAAGCAATAGGAACAGCCTATCTAAGTGCTATGGCAGAAAAATGAGGGTATTTCAGTGTGGCTATAGTAGTGGGTGAAGGTTGGGGAAAGCAGTAGGAGATGAATTTGGAAAGACAAGATTACAAAGGGCCCCCAAGACCAGGCTAAGAAGTTGGAAATTTGTCCTGAATGTGGTGGGAAACAATTGAAAACTTTTAAACAGGGAAGTGACAAGATCAAGTTTGCGTGTTGCAAATAATATTCTAGCTGTAGTAAAGGCAAGAAGACTCTTGTTTTAGTTAAGGCAAAACAAAAAATGAGACCCTAACCAAGGCAGTGATGGTGAGAATGGAGAATAATGGATTCAAGAAGTCCAGAACTATATAGTTGATTATATATGGGATGGGGTGGAGGAGAGAGGAAGCTAAGCATGTCTCCAAGGTTTCTGACTTGGGAAACTAGATTTATGTTTGTGCTATTTCACTGAGTTTGGGAACCAATTTAGGGTGGTGGTGATGAGGAGTTGATGGGTTCTATTTTAGACATTTGAATTTGAGGTTCCTGTAACACTTCAAGGTAAAGCTAGGCAAGAGACATTTAGATACATAGATCTGAAGCTTGGGAGAGCAGTTTATGGGGGAGATGTAAATTTGATATCCAGCAGTATTTATGAAAGGCATGGCTCAGCACCTGTGGCTCAAGTGGCTAAGGCGCCAGCCACATACACTTAAGGTGGCGGGTTTGAATCCAGCCCAGACCCGCCAAACAACAATGACAGCTGCAACCAAAAAATAGCCGGGCGTTGTGGTGGGCGCCTATGGTCCCAGCTACTTGAGAGACTGAGGCAGGAGACTCACTTGAGCCCAGGAGTTGGAGGTTGCTGTGAGCTGTGAAGCCACAGCACTCTACCCAGGGGGATAGCTTGAGGCTCTGTCTCAAAAAAAAAAAAAAAAAAAAGAAAGGCATAAAGATGACCTAGTTATATGTGACATTTGACCCAGATGGCAGTGCTTTTTAAAAATTTTTGAATGAATAGCCACTGTTGTTTTAAATCAGATTACATATAATAATTAGTATCTCTAACTTAAAATCTGGCAGCACTGGGCTTACATTCCCACAAATTAGAGACTGTTTAGAGCTACACACTGTTTGCTCCCTTTGTAGTGGACATGTGCTCTTCAGTTCTCTGCAGTTTTCACCATGTTTTTATAGGTAATGCCAAGACTGAGGGCTAGTTGCTGTTTATCATTGTGCCTGTGATTTCTTTTTCTTAGACTTGTTCATTTTTTTCTCATTTATGTTACTGCCTGGTATTTGAATTGCAACCTCTGGATGAAAAAGGTAAATTAAGTGCTGATGGGAAACAGAAAGTATTACTGCATACTTATTCTGTGCTTGCTAATTTACATTTATGGCAATATAATTTACCAAGTTATTAGTTTCTGTTTCCTTTCTCTGCCAAAGGAGACACCCAGTAGGATAAAAAGGTAACTTTGCTCTCCTTTCTTCCGGGAATTCTGGACTTCTTTTTCCATGGGATTATTAGTGAATTTTGTGTTTTCTGGTCCCAGAGCAAAGCAGAAATACACCTGCCCTACAACTTTATCTGGTTTCTTATATGAGAATGGAATTTAATTTAGCTGGGTATTCTTGCAAAGCCAAAGATGAAAGAGGTGCTAGATTGAGAGAAGAGCTGCCCAACAATAGTAGTGGGCTCAGGGACTTCAGAAAAAAGATGTAGTGAGGGGTTGTATGCCCACCAAGGTCTGTACAGAATTCCTTTAGGAGGCAGGGGGACTTCTGAAAAGGTGAGCTGATTTGATGGCTGGTGGACTGAACGTGTAATATATAGTCTTGGAAACTGCAACAAAAAAAAATGCTGATTTGCATACTTGGCCGAAATGCTGTGAAATCACCTGCCTTTGAATGGACAATGGGCATCCTAGGGGCAACCATGATGGACTGAAGACCAGAGGCTCTTTTCTTTTTTCTTTTTTTTTTTTTTTTGAGACAGAGTCTTACTTTATCAACCTCAGTAGAGTGCTGGGGCATCACAGCTCACAGCAACCTCCAACTCCTGGGCTTAGGCGATTCTCTTGCCTCATCCTTCCAAGTAGCTGGGACTACAGGCACCCACCACAACACCCAGCTATTTTTTGTTGCAATTTGGCCAGGGCGGGGTTCAAACCTGCCACCCTCAATATATGGGGCTGGTGCCCTACTCACTGAGCCACAGGCACCACCCACAGAGGCTCTTTGCTAAGTGTTTTGGGGATTTTATTTTTTGGTCAACGTGTACCATACTAAAGAGGGAAAAAGGCCTCAATAAATGATTGATGTTGGTTGTCTCCCAACCCTAGGAAATGGGGGTTTTGAGACAGCTTTAATTTAGGAAGATTAAGTCATGTGATGATTTTTGTTTTTCAGTGATGAAAAAATTTATACTCTAATATCTGTTTTTCTATTTAGACATTTTTGGCTCAAACAACAAACATTTGTTTCTCATAATTCTGGAGACTGGAAAGTCCAGGATCAAGGTACCAGACAATTTAGTTCCCTGTGAGGGCCCTTTTCCTGGCTTGCAGACAGATACCTTCTTGCTATATTCTTATATGTCTCATTTAATCTTTACGAGTCTTTGATGTAGATGTCTTTTCACATAATGGGAAAACTGAGGCATAGAGAGTACATGTGGCCATCCTCTTGAATTGTGAGAAAGCACTTGGATATAAGTGACAGAAAATAAAATCCAACAGACAAACAGAATGGGAATATATTAATTTACATGCACAACCCAGGAGGAGGGCTGGCTTTAGGTAGCAGGGTTGATAGCAGCCGTCCTCATACTACGGCCCACAGGCCACAGGCAGCCTGCCTAGGACATTTATCTGGCCCGTTTTTGCCGCTGCTTCCCATCCTGCTTAGCAGCTGATTCATCTGGGCCCACAGTCCGGCCTAACAGTGG